AAGAAATTCATCCGCCCGAGCACTTAACCTTGGGGTGCTCCAGTTTTGTGTTTTAAGAAGAAGGATGGGTCCTTAAGATTATGTATCGATTACCGGGAGCTGAATAGAGTAACTATCAAAAATAAATACCCATTACCTCGGATAGATGATTTATTTGACCAACTTTAGGGAGCCCAAGTGTTTTCTAAAATTGACCTTCGATCAGGCTATCATCAGTTAAAAGTTAAAGCAGAGGACACAGAGAAAACAATATTCAGATCTAGATATGGGCACTATGAATTTTTGGTAATGCCATTTGGGGTAACTAATGCAACTGCAGCGTTCATGGATTTAATGAATAAAGTGTTCAAACAATTTTTGGATGAATTCATTGTTGTCTTTATTGATGATATTTTGATTTACTCCAAAAGCAAGGAAGAGCATGAGAACCATCTACGAACTGCTTTACAGATTTTGAGAGAAAAGAAGGTGTATGAAAAATTATTCAAATGTGAATTCTAGCTTGACAGTGTGGCATTTTTGGGACATGTAATCAACAAAGACGGTATCTCTATTGACCTTCAGAAGATTGAAGCAATTGTGGACTGGCCAAGACCAACTAATGTGTCAGAAGTTAAAAGTTTTCTGGGACTTGCAGGTTACAGCAGAAGAATTGTAAAAGACTTCTCAAAACTGGCTATGCCACTGGCGCAGTTGACATAGAAGAATATACCATTTGATTGGAATGATCAGCGGGAATCAAATTTTCAAGAATTGAAAACCAGATTAGTGATAACAACAGCTTCCTCTAGCCGGCATATGTTGGGCCATATGAATGTGTGTGTTGGACTTTCAAGGCAATTGGGAGACTTACCTTCCTCTAGCCGAATTTGTGTATAACAACAGCTATCATTCAAGCATTGGAATGGCTTCTTATGAAGCTCTGTATGGAAGAAAATGTCATTCTTCTATTTGTTGGACTGAAGTAGGTGACAGACCATTGTTGGGCCTAGAGCTTGTGCAAGAAACAACTGAGAAAGTGAAACTGATTCAGCAACGTCTGAAAACTGCACAGAGCCGGCAAAAGAGTTGTGCTGATGTCCGAAAAAGAGACAGAGAATATGAAGTCGGGGATCACGCGTTTATTAAAGTGACTCCAATGAAAGGACAAATGCGGTTTGGTGTTAAGGGCAAATTAGCACCGGCATATGTTGGGCCATATGAAGTTCTGGAGAAAATTAGCCCATTGACGTATCGGGTAGCCTTACCACCGGTTATGGAGCAAATGTATAATTTCTTTCATATCTCAATGTTATGAGATTACTTATGAGATCCGTACCATGTTATCGAGCCGACCCATGTGCTTTTGAAGGATGATTATATGTATGAAGAAAGTCCTGTTCAGATTGTGAATTGCCGGATCAAAAGATTGAGGAATAAAGAAATACCGTTGGTGAAAGTTGATTGGCAAAACCACGGAGGAACTTATGCTACATGGGAAACAGAAGAAGATATGATGAAGAGATATCCGGATTTGTTTCCGTCGGATCCAACGTTTTTCTGAAACGAAAGTAATTCGAGTTTGGAGGACCAAACTCTTTAAGGGGGGAAGACTATAACAACCTTGACCCATGATTAACATTAATTCATGCTTAATTATGCCTAATAAGAAATTAAATTGAAATTTACATCATATATTGTCTTATTTGTGTTTATATCTATTTAACATAGAAAGATCTGTTCATGTTTCTATTTCAGTTTGCGAATTGAAGGCCTTACTGGCATCCAATTCAGAAATTGGCTTGATTTATGTGTTAATTAGAATTTTTAGAATTTTAGAACAGGTTTAATTAAAATTGAATTCAGAACGATATAATTAAAATAATTAATGCTCAATTAAGCCTAAATTAATGAATTTATTAATCAAGCCTATATAAGGCCACCTCATTACACACTTTTACACTTCCACTTACTCTTGCTTGACCATTAAAAACGTGTGAGAGTGGGAGAGAAGGAAATTGAGCTAAATTGAAGAGAGATTGTCAGAATTTGGAGGAGATTGAAGTGAATTCAAAGGAATTAAACTCCAACATGAAGAATTTGAGCCTTAGGTAAGACTTCAACTCATATTTTGTAACCTAAGGCTTAATTAGATGTGAAATCAACAAGAAATGAAGTTATTATGCATTATTCAAAGAGAATTGAGATTAGATGATAGAATTGAACATGACTCATGCATGCATGTGCATATCATGAGGTCTTGAAGTTGTTTTTACAAGAATTCCCACATGCATGTTCATATCTTGGTTTTGTTAAAAGAATTCAACTTGTTTTTGAGCTTAATGACTCACTTGCTCATGTTTTGGGGAATTGAAATGGATGACATTACATACAAGTTATGTTATTTAAGTTTCAAGCTTTGTTTAGTACAATTGGCTTAGCTTTTGGGCTTACTTTTGGAAAATAGTTTGTAATTCATCATGTACTATGAGTTTCTTAATGTTTTACTAAGTTTTGACCCAAAAGAATGTGTTTTGAAGTTTTGAAATTGAATTTTGAGCTTGGGAGCGAATTTGGAAATTCCATAATTTTGCTCCTACGCTCGAGCGACCACTCTGTGTCTTGTACCTCTGCTTGAGCGACCAAATGTTGTCTCCAGTGTGAAATGCATGCTCCCAGAAGTCTAAGTGTTTTACTAACCACTCGAGCGACAAGAGTTGTGCTCGAGCGAACGTTGAGCGAGCGTTGAGCGGAAAAATTAAGCAACCAGTACTTTTGCAAGCCGCTCAAGCGAAGGAATGTGCGCTTGAGTGACCACTACATTCTTGCATGTCCGCTCGAGCAAAGAAAGCTACGCTCGAGCTAGACCCCTATTTTTAGCAATTTTTGTTAAGCGTTTTCAAGTGCATTTTAGCATCCTCATTCATCCTAGGCACTCCTAGGCCATGATTAAGACTCAATAAGAGGAAAAGACTTAGAAACACACTAAGAATGAAACGAAAGAAGTTAAGTATCAACTGAGTGTGTTTCATTAAACGTATCTGATATGTTTGGTATACGTCACGTGTTGTGAGCGGTTGATTCATTTGTTTACTGCCAAGCCTATCTGTGAGTAATAACTCTGTAAAGTTATGTTGACTTTAATTATTTTATGATGATACAAAATGATCAGTTTTCTGAAATGCTATGTTTTGTGTGAATGAATGAATGTCCGATTTTCTTTGAAAAATAATTGTGGTACCCTTAGCAGAGGCCCTGGCTCAGGGGACATAACACTGTGGTTTATAGTCACGAGGCCCTTGCCCAAGGGAAATAATACTGTGGTACAGGCCCTCGCCCGAGGGAAACAATACCGTGGCTCATGTATGAGATATGTTGCCCGGTACTAGAGGTTCCTTTTTGGAACTTGATATGCTTGACCAAAGAGGCATGTTTAAGTTAACGGATGTACCACACATGATTTGAATATGAATAAGATTATGACTCTGTTTCTGCTATAAATCCGATTATGATTTTTATTTGCTTTGAGATTTGAAAACTAGTCTGGGCATCATTCATTAAAATCGTTACTTTATTATTATTCACTAGGCTTCCACTCACTATTTATATTATGTATGTAGGTGACCAGGCTCATGACTAGACCCAAAGTTGAGGATCTGGTGTCTCTGTTTTGTCAGCCAGCCGTTATGCCTCCGAGGAGGTTCCTTTTTGTGCGCAAGTCAAGTCTAAACGGCATAAGTTATGACCTTGTGTTAATAAGTAATACGATCAAGTCTTTTGATTTTTGTGTTTATTGGGGTATTTCCCTTTTGGGCTACATCTGTATTAAATGTGACAAAGATTACTGCATTATGATGTTGCGTATATGCATATATACATATATATATATTATATAAGATTTTAAATTTCTGCCCCATGTATGTTTGCACGGCTCTATGGACTAAGTATTGTTGGTATATTTGCTTTCGTAGCCCCTAATTATATGTTATTCCGTTAAGAAGCCTTTGGTAATCCAAGGATTATTGGCCGGTTACAACGCTAAACCTATAGGGGCGGGTTTCGGTCGTGACACATATCTTTTTTTAAAAAAAAAAACCTCAATGTACATTTTTTGAGTTAAAAAAAAAAAGAAGCACTAAATCCTAGTTTCTCCATTGTTTGTTACTTTTTCCATTGTTTGTCACTATGCTTGTTACACACTTTATACTTCTCTATTACTTGCAAATCAATACTCTCATAACAACTCTCATATTACTTTACTCTCTAAGTTTATACTCCATTATTTATATAATTTTCTCATTAGTTCCACAATTATTTTTCATTTTGTTATGGAAGAGTTGCAAACCAATGGAAGTTCAAATTCAAGCAAAAATATGTCTGGAGACATCAAAATCAGTGATGAAAATGTTAGTTTTTTCGTGCAGAAGTTTTTTTTTTTTTCCTTGTGATTTTAAGTCGAAAAATTAGTGTCAAATTATTTCATTTTATTCGAACATCAAATGTTGAAAGTAATTGTTTTATTCAACACTTAAACACTGAAATTAATACTTTTATTCGATACTTAACTACTGAGTTTAATTAGTTTATTCGATAGTTGAAGATTGAAAATTTGATTTATTTCGATTATTAAGTGCCGAATAATAGTGTTATATTCAACTCTGACGTGTTGAGTTAATTTTTTCCCCCTTTTCGATATAATATTATGGTAGATTGTACTAGTCATTTTACAGCTAAACAGGTAATCTTTAACATGAATTTCATAACTTAATCATTTTCGTTAGTTAGTTTGTTTTTATGAAAGTTGTGTGGCATTATATATGGGTTTCGACAACAATAATAAATTGCTTATTTGGGTACGTGATATTGGAAAGACCAATGACTTTGTTATTATTATAAAGACGTTAGACTATGGTGGTGGTCACAAGAGACTATGAATTTATCTTCCTTGTGAGAGGATTTGCAAGTATAAATCGCGTAACAAGTTGAAAGATGACTCGTAAGACTTGTTGAAACAAACTAGTATGAAGAAGTGCGAATGTCCATTTGATTTGAGCGCATACAAGTTGAAAGCAAACAATGAATGGAAATTGAATGTAGTTTGTGGACTGCATAATCATCTAGCTGCGGAGCATCTCCAAAGACATTCATATGCAGGGAGATTGTCAGCTAATGAGAAGTCACTGTTACTAGATATGTCAAAGAGTTTGTAATACCAAAAGAGATTTTAATTACACTCAAACAGAGGGATGCCCTTAATATAACACAATGAAAATAGTTTACAATGTATGACATTGATGTAGGGTTCTACAGAAAGCTGGTAAATTCCAGATGCAACAACTGCTGGATGACTCAGCGAAGCATAAGTACATTGAGTGTCATCGATGTGAGGAAGGCTCTATGACTGTCACGGACTTGTTTAAGGTACATCCAGTGAGCTTTGATTTGCTTTGTACATTTCCTTATGTGTTGATTATGGACTGCACATATAAGACAAATAGATATCATCTTCATCTTATTGAAATTATGGGAGTGACATCAACTCACATGGCATTCTCCGTGGCTTTCGCATACTTGCAAACTGAGCGTGTTGATAACTATGCATGGGTGTTACAAACATTGCGTGATCTTATGGACAACAAAATTTTACTTGAAGTCATTGTCACAGACAGAGAGCTTGCCTTGATGAATGCCATTGACAACACCTTTCCGAATGCTTGACATTTGTTATGTCATTGGCATATTAATAAGAATGTATTGGTGAAATGCAAGAAAATGTTTGAGACAAAAGAAAAATGGGAAAAGTTTAACATGGCATGGAATTATTTAGTATTGTCATCTATCGAAGAGGAGTACAAGGATCACCTTGCTATACTGCGTAAGGATTTCAATGACTATTCCGAGACAGTTGAATCCATATAAAAAAAATAAAAAATTTGTTGTGGTACATAGAAACATGTGTATGCATTTTGGCAATGTTACAACAAATCGGTAATATTTTTTTTTTCTTATAAGTCATATTGTTGTTTTTAATTATTATACTTCACTATTTTTTCTTTACATCCATATGAACAGGGCTGAGAGTGCTCATGCTAAATTGAAGAGGCAATTAGGTTCAAGTCAAATGACATTTGAGATATCATATGAAAAAATATATTGTCCACTTGAGTTACAGCACGTTCAAGTAAAAGCGTCATTCGAGAAGAGTTTGACTATTATACAACATCAATTCAAACCTTCTCAATTTAGAGAGCTTTAGGGTAATGTGTCTATTTGTGCATTGGAGTACGTGTTGGCAGACAGTAAGAGAACAAATTCAGTTGGAATTGATGTTGTAGCATATGCGTGTGTTCTTAGGCACATGCATGGTGTACCTTATGCTCATGAGATTGTAGATTTCATGAGACAATGACGCCATATTCAACTCAGTAGCATATATGTAAATTGGACACTACTTAATATATGTGTGCATAATCCGATGGTTGACAGATTGGTATTGACTGGTACCCCAGAACTTGAGTTGATTTTTAAGTATTTCAATGAGTCTGATATTGCCACGCAATTGGATATGTTGAAGAAGTTAAGGGAAATTGCAAACCCAGCGAGGACTTTCCTTATTGAGCCTGATGTGAAGCCTAATCCACGTTGAGGACATAAGAAAGTTGATATATCTTGATGCTGTAACCCGTGTGCATTTGAGTTGGTTGAAAATGGCCATGATAGCCAGAGCACATATGAGAAGAAATGGAATGCGAAGACAGACATATCGTACTAGAACAAGTTTATCGAGTGCATATGCTGGTGACTTCTTGCCTATGTTAAAATCATTCATAAAGTTAATGAAGGATATTGATGGTGATGGGAATTGTGGTTTTAGAGCTATTGCGGGTTTACTTGGTCTTGGAGAGAATGATTGTGAGCAAGTTAGGCGTGATCTGCTGTCAGGACCCGAACCTTCCCCTAGAGGTTTGGATCATAACTAGCCAGTAATCATAAGATTGCCTATGGCCTCAGACAAAAATTCAAAGTATATTTAAATATACAGGGCCTGAAGCGAAAGTAGATAATAAATTGATAATAATGTTATCCATTGAGCTGTGCTTATATGACATGAACATAAATATGCAAAACACTTCACAACATACCATAATATTTACAAACATTCATCTCATATACATAACCCAATATCAAGCATAAAACATAACAAACTTGACAAAACCAAAGCTTTACAAAGCTTGGCTAAAACAAAAACTAAAGCCTCAATGCGGAGGCACATCAAAAGTGGCTTCACAAAAGAGGTTGACTCCATGAAATCTCTAATGTGGGTCCTCCTATTGCTTACCTACATATATACATATAGAAAATGGGTGAGTTGGAAGCCCAATGAGTAATATCAAAATAAAGAGGTTAAATGAATGAGTTCCATAATTATATTAATATAGAGACGTTAATATGATCAAAGCATTTTTCGAATACATATAGTAATAAATAAATTTCATCAAACCTTTCATAGTTAAATACATTACGTGGTACATGCTAATAGTATTATTAAAACTTGACAGAATGATCTCCACGGATTGAGACCATACAGAACGTCCATAATGGAATGAAAGCATACAAAATGTCTATAACGGGTTGATAACATACAAAACGTCCATGAAGGTATGAAGCCATATGGAATAATCATACATGATTGGAGCCATACAGAACGATCATCAAGGATCGACATCGTACAAAACGTTTACAATGAATTAATATCATATGTACAACATCTATGATGAGCTGAAGAGAGAACAGAAGGTTCTTAAGTTCAAATAATATTTTATGTCACATTAGATGCTCAAAAAGGAAACACATTCATTCTTATCAATCATAATTTTCAGAAAACCTGTCATATCATAACATTTCTGAATTATGTAGAATAACTTGACATTTCGGAAAATACTTATCATATAACAAAACATAGATTTAATAAAACTTCGTATAGCATAGCAATTTCCAAAAACATTTATACAAAAATATCTTTACAGAGACATTACTCACCGTAACCTGATTCAGATGTTACTCCTTGGCGATCCAACCTACAAAAAGCACATATAGACGAGTTAAAGACAAAACAAAAGTTCCTCAAGTTCAAATCATATTTTATATGTCACATTAGAAGCTCAAAAAAGAAAATCATTCATTCTTATCAATCATAATTTTCAGAAAACTTGTCATATCATAACATTTCAAAATTCCGCAGCATAACTTGACATTTCGAAAAATACTGATCATATTGGACATTTCGTAAACAAAACATAGATTTAATAAAACTTTGTATAGCATAGTAATTTCCAAAAGCATTTAAACAAAAATATTTTTACAGAGACATTACTCACCGTAACCTGATTCAAATGTTACTCCTTGGTGGTCCAACCTACAGAAAACACATACACTACGATAAAAGAAAAGCATTCAATTAATTTTAATTTCCTTAATTAATTCAGATTAATTAACATCGGTTTCTAAGTGTCTTTTAATTCCTCAATGGAACTAAATATGCTCATATGAGCATCTAGAGGGTCAAAAAGGTCGAAAGAAAAACAAAAGGGATTTCCCTATTTTCTACACATGCAAAAGCTTCCAGCCAAACGTGCGGATTGTGTTACATGTGCGAGCTGCACATGTAATTAAATCAGTATCCATACCTCTGCTCTGGTTCGATGACCGCACGTGTAGGACTCACAGCTGCACGTGTGGTTCTGGACAAAATTTTGTTGTTCAAAAATTTGCCAAGTGTAAGCCTTTGGAACTCATTTATATGACCAAAGTTCATGCAATACTTAATCAAAACATGAAGATATATATGAAATATGTTCAATCTTCAACTTATTTGAATCAAAACTTCTTTTAATTTCAAAACCAAATTCCAAATTTCATGAATTCGAGATTTTCAAAACTTTTTCTTTCTCATCTTCATAACATGCAATTGATTGGCTCAATTTCTATTAAACTAATAGTGCTTTTACTCAAATACATCAAAGGTTGAAAATTGAAGACTCAAGTTGATGAATTCTCACAATTATTCCTATGATTATTAACCTAACTAAGTTCTTCAATTTAATTCTTCAATTACTTCTTGATTTTAGGTCTTAGATGAATTCTCTACAAGAATTAGGATATAACTTACATTACCTTGTTGAATTCTTGGATAATTCTTTAAATTTCTTGGTTCTACTCTTTTTCCTCTTATTGTTCTTCCTTGAGCTCACTTTCTTTCTCTCTAACTCTTTTTCCAGCACAAAAATATGAGTTCAAGACTTCTAATTCTCTAATTTTCTAGAATAGCCTCCCTTATTCTAGTTAATTGATTATCTTTCTAATTGTGTATTAAATTAATTAATCTTTACTTTGCCTTATTTGATTATGATTAATACCTAATGTAATTCATCTAATTAAGCTTAATTAAGGCTTAATCAATTATTCATAATTTATATTAATTTGAATCAATTTTTTAATTAAATTCCCATATGGCTCTAAATATTTAATTACTTTGATTAAGCTCATCACTTAGGGGTTTCTAAGTCATATGGATAATCAATTTATGATTTGAAACATAACACCTAACAAATAATTCACACACATATAAATCACAACAGATATTAACATCAACATCAAAATTTCCTACGATTAAATAAATGCAAACATGATATGCATGGTTGGGTTATCACATCTGCTACATGAGTTGAATGATCACAAAGATGAATACGTCGTACTATAGGGTCACATGAGAGGGTTAACGAGCTGACACACATCTTGTCATTCTTTAAAGACAGCCCAGGCTTTGATCGTTGTACGACTATGCTTGACATAGGGTATCTTATTGCATCATTTTATAATGTAGTCTTGTACCCCTTGTCATTCTAATAGTATCTCACTTTCTTACCTTTGAGATCATCACCAGTAACCCCAGCGGATCACCGCAAGATTGCCATTGTATTTGTCAATGGAAATCATTTTGTGCCGGTATAACCTACGAAAATTACCTATCGTTGTAGTTTAATAATTTTGTAATTGTGAAATTGATGGGTATGCTAAGTTTACTAAGTTTTGATTATATTAATTTGGTTGAATTCTCATTGGATGTTCATGCAGGCATTTTTGGACCCTAGTCATCCAATTCCTCCCATTGTTGTGCTGTGGCGAGTTAACCATCACCCTTGCGCATCAAAATGAGAGAATGCATATGTTAGTTGCATTTAGAAATTCAAAGCAAACATAGGACCTAATGTAGCTACTCGAGAGACCTTTGAGTTGACATCAATTGATGTATTAGGGAGCAGTTCTTGGATATTTAAAAAATTTAAGATATTAGTTTTTATGATTTATAGTAGCACGGATTTATGAAATGGATATCATTTTGTCATTGGATTTTGTAATGGCCATTTTTTGATAGAATGAATATGGGTTATAGTTGTCTTATTTATAGAATAAAAATCATATTATTTGCATTTCTGAACACAAAGTGTGATGAAAATGTCACTACTATTAGCCTACAAGTGTTATTTTGTCCAACCAAATATAACTACTGTTAAAGAGTAATAATATTAACCAATAATAATAATAATAATAAGTAGTTCAATCCACCCATGTTATCACAAAATACTTGTCTCCTTGTACATCATGAAAAGTATCACTAATAAATACCTACTACAAACTCCACCAAAGTATCTAAAAAA